GGGCTCAAGTGATCCTCTTGCCTCAGTTTTTCTATTTTTTAGTAGAAACAGGGTCTCACTTTTCCTCAGGCCAGTCTTGAACTTGTGAGCTCAAGCAATCCACTGCCCTCAGCCTTCCAGAGTGCTAGGATAATAGGAATAAGCCACTGTACCCAGCCCACCTTCAACATTCTAAAATAAAAAAATTTTGAGCCCAACATTTTGTATCCTCCTAAGCTAAGCTTCTAAATTGATGGAGAAATCAAATCTTTTATGGATCTACAATGTCTGAGGAATTTCACCACAACAAGATCAACGCTACAGAAAATACTTTAACCTATTCTCAACACTGACCACCACAATGGACCCACCAACAAAGAAAACACCCAGAAGCTGAAGGTCAAAACAGCTTCCACAACACAGCAAAGGATAAAACTACACAACAGACTTTCACAAAATAAGATGAATAGAACTCTACCACATTTATCATTTCTCTCAATAAATGTCAATGTAGTGAATTAACCTTGAAGAGGCACAGGCTGGGATATTGGATAAAAGAACACAAGCCATCCACACGCTGTCTCCAGGAGACACACCCAGCCTTGAAGGACAAATCAATACTCAGGGTTAAGGAATGGAGAACAGTATTTCAAGCAAATGGAAATCAGAAGAAAGCTGGGGTTACAATCTTATTTTTAGTTACATCTGGATTTAAAGCAACTGAAGTTAAGAAAGACAAAGACTTTAACATGCCTCTTAGACAAATCCTCTAAACAGAAACTAAACAAAGACACAAGGGACTTAGGTGTGACCCTAGAACAACTGTGCTTGATAGACCTATATAGAACACTCCATACTAAAGCTAAAGAAAATACTTTCTCTTCGGCCCATGGAACATTCTCCAAAATCGATCATATCTTAGAACACAAAACAAACCTCAACAGGATAGAAAGAATTGAAATTTTAACTTGTATCATCTCAGAGAACAAGGCTTATAAAGGTGGAACTCAACTCCAACAAAAAAATTCAACCCCATATAAAGGCATGGAAATTAAACAACCTCATGCTGAATGACAGTTGGGTGCAGGAAGAGATAAAAGGGGAAATCAATTAACTTCCTTGAGCACAACAACAATGAAGACACAGCTACCAAAACCTATGGATACAGCAAAAGCAGTGCTGAGAGGAAAATTTATCGCTTTAGATGCCTACATCCAAAAAACAGAAAGAGCTCATCAACAAACTCAGAAACTATCTTATGGAACTGGGGAAAAAAGAACAATCTAAGCCTAAACCCAGCAGAAGAAAAGATAGATATAAAATGAAATCAAAGATTAATGAAATTGAAAACAAGAGAGTCATTCAGAAAATT